TTCTCAACGTAACCTCGAATACAAATTTCCAGCAACTTAAAACTGTTCTACCTTCTACCCCCCCAGCACTCCAACAACCATAACTCACCTTGCGTTACAATTTGCACGTTGGTCACCTCGAAATTACAAGGTATCACTTCTTCCAATTACCTTAATAACCTACTCATCAATCAACTCTGCCCACACAACAATAAGCCCTAATCACTTCTCCTAATTGCGTTTTTCTTCACTTTCTACCTCGCGCCGAGGCACGTTTCGTTCTCGAAAAAGAAAAGAAGAAAAGACCGAAAGATCGTGAGAGCAATTAGAAACTCCTTCGTTACCTCGGTGTTCCGAGGTGTAAATCGATCCTAGAAAATGCAACTCGAAAGAAAAGGTACCCTGGTCGAGCATTTCTCTGCCATTGCTCTTCATCGTAGACCGATCAGAACAAATTTTACTGTTACTCTTCCTTTCTCACGATACTCATTTAATTGCAAGCATCCGTTTAATTGCAAGCATCGATCGCCGCTCTTTTTACAACGAAAGAAAAGGAACCGACAACACTTTGTTCTCTTGGACAAAGGAGATCGAGGACTTTTCTGAGCAACAGCGAAATTCGACCGCACGATCAATTTCTTCTTTCGATCCGGATTGATCTTGAACGCGTTGCAAAACCGATTCCTGTCGTCACTTCCGATCGAATCGCTTCGGATAGTTTCCTTGTTCTTTTTCGCTCTCGACGTAGAGCTGCATCGGTGATTCGAATTCTACGGTACACGCGCTTATTCTTATTCGTCGACTGTTTAAAAATAAAACGGATTTGTATTTTATCGTCCGAAGATCGGGGTTGTAAACCTATTTTTTCAAGCATTTTCTATTTCCATTTCTATGTTTTCGTTAACAATTTTTTACGTTTCTGTGAAAGTATCGCAAAACTGGATCCTCGTTTTTTGGACACGTTTTGAAAATAGAAATTTTCCGCGACCAATTTTTCAATATCGAAGCTTGAAACAAGCGTGAACAATTTTTGGATGTCCACACAATGGTTAAGAAAAATTCTATTTCGCGTAATATTTTATTCAGCAACAACTATATCTTAGGTTCGCGCTAAACTTCTGGAAGAGGATTTTATTCCAGAGGACCGAAAGAAGAAGTGGACGACGAGGAAACAATCTCTCGAAGAGATTCCATCGGAACGAGAAGAAGGATTTGCAACGGGGGGAGAGATGCGCATAAATAAGAGACAAGGTGTTTCTGTATAATTCACCAGACAATGTTTATTCAGACGACCTCACAACTCCCAAGCGTACAAAACGACGTGCTCACTGGGCAATATGCGGGGCTGCGTTTGTATTCTTGCAATTGTAATACAGTACACTTTCGGTATGCTCGTTACGTGTTTTTTTTTATTCTTTCCGTACAATAATGCGTTTTTTTTTTTATTCATTCCACCATTCAATATTATCGTTTATTTATTATTTTTTTTTTTTGCGTTTTTTTCTTCCCTATATCATTTTGTTGTTTGCTCTGCCTTTGCTTTGCTTGTTTCTCACAATCATCGTTTCCACCAAGAAACAACAGCTGCTTGCATCCTCCTTTCTTAATGGATAGAGAAATATATCATACTTTATGTATCGTTTACTATAATAATCATTATGTGTAGTTTATGCATAACAAGTATTACGAATATCAACGCTAGTTCGCTTGCGGGGACATATCCAGGGTACGAGGGCTGAAAGGGGTGGGACAGGGTAGTGAAAAACATTATTAGGAAAAAACTCTTTGTGGGAAGTGACGTGGTGTGTGTCTGTGTGTGTGTGTGTGTACGTGTATGTATGCGTATGTGAACCGGGAGTGTAGAAAATTATTTGGACAATTATAACGGGAAGGGTTGCTCGAACGAGAGTCTCTTTACGGAAACTCTCTTTCGTCCGTTTACAAATAGCTGAGATGCGACAAAAATTGCGGCCAAGTGTCGCGATATTTCGCAACACCATTTTAAATGCGGCTACAACAATTCAGGTTCTGATGCTCTCTAAGTAGCGTGTGTGTGTGTGTGTGTGTGTGTATGTAGGAGAGTGAAGGTGGGATTGGCTAACTTGCAGGAAGGAAACAAGGGTGTGTTCGTTTCGAAGGGGGTAGTAGAGCGTGGTTGACAGCAAGAAGGATTCAAGGATCAAAAAACGAGTCGAGGGAGCGTGTGTGTTTGTGTTTTGTTCGAATGCGTGTATGTATGGTATGTTCGTTACTTGCGAGATACACAGCGTAAAAGGGGAATGACTTTGTCCTCGAGTACAATAAATACACAGAGTGGTTTCACTACGAAGCTTCTTCAGGAATCTGTACGTGTGTTTTATAATGTGTGTTGTGTTCGCGCGTGTGTGTGTATTACCGAGGGAATTTAAACGGTGTGCTGCGCTCAAAAATTGTAGCGAGACAACGGTTTCTCTGCATGCCCGTGGAGCAGTTCTCGCGACTTGATTTTGCCCTATACGATATTCTTGTCCCTATTTATTGGTTCTCTTCGCATATTCTCGCCGGTTTTTTCTTCTTTTTTTTTTTTCGCGTGTGTGATGCTAGGCTACACGTTTCCCTTTGCTTTCTCTGTCGCTGGTTCTTTTACGGCCTGTCTATGCATTCCTGTGTTGCATGTGTGTGTATGTTTACGTGTTTATACGGTCGTTACATTAGCGTGTGTGTTTTCAAATGCTTTCTAAATTGTTGTTGTTGTTGTTGCTGCGTCTTTTCGCCACGATTGACTGTATTTCTTCACAATATCTTTTTATTTTTCGCGTGTTCTATGCCTTATCTTTCTCCTGCACCGACGATACTCCTCGGCGTCGACTGTACTACAGGGGGCAAAAGGGGGGCGGGGCGGGCGTCTCAACAACACGTCGGCGGCGGCCCGCCGCGTATCTTTTCGCACTGTTTTCCTCTCGCATCGTTCTCATTTCTGCTCGCTTTCCCTTCGCTTCCTTACTTCTCTGTCTCTCTCTCTCTCTCTCTCACTCGTTCTCTTTCTCTCAAACCGAGCGTTTCGTTTTTCTCGTTAAAAAAAAAAAAGCAAAAACCTCGTCCACTCGCGCCATTCTAGGACTTAGCCTTACGAAATCTACTATTTACACTGCGCCGTTTTTAATGCCGATTACTACCACGCGACTTTTCTTCTTCTTTTTCAATGTTCTCCTCTCTCTCCCTCTCGTGTTTATTTCTCGTCGTTCTCTAGCTTTTTCTTCGACACCCTCTTGCTCTAGCTCTCTCTCTCTCTCTCTCTTCCTCTCGCTCGCTCGTACACACACACATCTCTCACACTCTCCCATCATCATCATACACGTTGCCTCTCGTCTCCCTGGCCATCCGATCGTCTTCTCTTCTCCCTCTATCCTATCTGTTTACCTAACGCGATGCGCCACCGAGAGAGAACATGTGCGAACACATCTCGTCTCGCGACGTTTCCGTCTTCTTTCCTTCTCCCCCAAAGAGAGTGGGGGGAAGAAAAAAGCAACACACGGTTCGTTAACAAGTGATCTCACGATGTATTTATTCGGAACAACTGCCGAGTTTCAGGTTAGAATCAGAGGTTAAAGAGAGTCTAACGTTCGGCTGGACACCGAATTTCTTTTTTTTTTTAATTATTCGACAGAGACGAGAGACACGAACACGCTTTCGTCTTTACAAAAGGTACGTACGGTTGATTGCAAACTCCGGAGGCCGCGGCGGGCCGGGTCAGTCTCAATATACATGTTCTGAACGGAAACGTCGTTTGAAAATCGTTTTATTTTGAAATGCGCGCTTTCCCGACTGCTGAAAAGCCGTTTAATCTTTTTTCCATTTTCCCTTTTCCTCCGTTTTGTTCGTTTCTTCTGCTATTTCTTCCTATCTGTTCGTTTCTTTCTTTTTTTTTAGCTTCTTTTTGTTTTTGTTGCGATTTTGCCCCGACTCACTTGCACAAGCACGCTCACGTTCCATTCGTTCTTTTGTGTTGGGTTTTTTTTTGTTCCTGGTTGATTCCATGCATACACACTCGCTCTCTCTCTCTCTCTCTCTCT